AAATATAATGGCGTATGTGCGTTTAAAAAGTGAGATTAAGCTATTATAATTTTAAATTTTCGAACTTATAAACTCTTTTTCTATATCTTTTTATTATTAATAATTGTGAGATAGTTAGCAGAGCAATTACAGAAGCATCTAGCACGCCTGTATAAATGGTTTCGTTTTAAAATCCTCAAAATTAATGTTTTTGTTAGGGTCTATGTTAATGTCTATGTTAATGCTTAAAACACAATCAGGCTGATTAACCGTATCTTCATAAAAAAATGAACACCATACAAAAAAATATTAAATTGTATAGAAATTGAACCCGGCAATCAAAAGAAAACATATTTTGTTATAGGAAACGGAAATAAAGTTAAAAAATGGTTAACATAATAGAGGAGTGAGGGGGAGGCGGAGAGAGTTTAAAATATGTGGCAAGGAAATGGAAATTCCTTTTTGGAGAAATGAAACACGTGGTCAGAAGTATAAGAGAAAAGAAAATATGAAATAAAGCCATTGAAACTCAAGAATTAAAATGATGGTAAGTAAAAGATTAATGTAAATAGGGGAGGGAATGAGAAATATTTAAATAAGTGCGGAAAAAATTTAGGTACCGGCAAATTGAATTTGAGCATTTAGCGAGCATGCGGGACCAGAATAAATATTTATTAAAGTTTCTAGGTTCTTGAAGTTATTTAACAGAATTAGAAGTCGTAGACAAAATTTCAAAACCTGAACTAGAATCGAAGTTGTGTCCGATTCTAGTACGGGTTTTAAAATTTTGCATACGACTTCTAATAGGTATCGAGAACCTAGAAATTTAAAAAAATATTAAATCTAGTCCCGCTTGCTTGCTGAATCCTCAAATTCAATTTATCAGCACTACAACTTTTCTGCTCTTATACAAATATCTCTTATTCCCATATTTTATAAATTTTACTTACCATTATTTGTGCTTCAATCCCATATTTTAATAGCTAATAAAATATTTTTCTTTTAATTGCCGGGTTCAATTTTGATAGAATTTAATCTAATTTTTTATAGGGTGTTCATTATTTTATAAGATATATTTATTATTCATAATTTTATTTTATTAACTCTTAATAAGATTTCTTTAATGTCTTCAGCCACCTATAATTACTTTCATTATTTGAATTACCTTTCTAGATTACAGATACCTTCTAGTTGGTAATCTTTTTGATAGATGGTAGGTACTCAACCTTTCTTTAGTACTTACTTATCTGTGTTAAAAAACTCATTAATTCATTAATTGAAGAGAACACAGCAAAAATTATTATGAAAGTCACATGTCCCTTTTTTTCTAAAAATGAGTTAAATGCGCGATAAAATTGCCGAGAGTCTGTAATGCTGAACAGGTTTACACAGCAATAAATTTTATTGTCTCGGAGTTATTAAAAAAAAAAATAGTTTATACAGCAAGAGCGATGAATTTCACGGCCAAATACAGCAAAAACATTGTGCGACATGGGTGAAGAAGAAGAAGAAGAAGAAGAAGAAGAACAAAGGCATGACGTTTTACATATTATCCATTAAATGTGGCACAAAATGGCTACTAAGTCATTTTCCTTAATATTCCTACTCTAAGTATACTTTGGTTTCAAAACTTAAAATTCAATTTAAAGAGAATTTACTTTCACTGACATTCATCGTTTTTGCTTTGGATCAATTATACACCATTTTTTATTTAATTTGTTCATTCCATATTTTATATATTTTAAAATGATGTGTCTTGTTTGTAACTTTATTTTGTTAATGTTTTATTTAAACTCAATATTGTTTTTGGTTCCTCTAACCTCAAGCAGACATCTCTATATCGGTTCGATTTTTAACATAAAAAAATTAAATTTTTGCTACATAATTTAATATATATTTACAGTGACTTTTTTAACTTTTTATCTTAAAATTACGTAATGTTTTTTTTTTTGTTAAATTTTTTATTTGTATTAATTTTCACCTTTCAATACATTTACTTCATGACTTTCCATTTAGGTGTGCCATAAATGTCCTGCTTACAGCCTAGGGTGAGCATATTTCATTTGACTCAATGCTGAACAATGAACACGAATACAACATTGATGAACTTTATAGAGATGAGGACTTTTTCAACTCCCCAAAGATAAATACAAAAACTTTTTAGCTCTCCAAAGATGCATAAAATAAAAGAGAAGTCATGTATGTTTTATTTGTTACGTTTCAATAAATATTACATTGCTTGACAATAATGACATTTATCTGGACAAATATTGCTGTAGGTTTGCTGTACAAGATAAAATACTGTACTGACTTTGAAAATACTGTACAATACAGCGAAATGCTATACGTACGGTCACCCTATTTTAGCCTTACTGATTTTAATAAGTGTATCCTAATTCAGTTTAGATGCTTTACCTGCTTGATAAAACTGCAAAAGCTTGAAGTCTTTGTTAACATATGTACTTCTTAAATAATTTTTTATTAGTTTTAATTTTGAAAAGCTTCTTTCAGCGATGGCTGTATAATATTAACACGCGAGATGATTGATTTATTAAGATGAATTTTAATCGAAGATGACTTCTTCTAAACCGATCTTCAACAACAGCCAAACAACATAATGTTTTTATATATTTCAATTTTATTTCTTTTCAAGGATTTGTATTTTATTTTTAATAGACTTCAAAGAAAAAGAAGTTTATCAATTTGTTGGAATATTTTTTTAAGTATGTTTAGCGATAAATCTTTACCACATTGTCAAACGTCAATGATTTTTTTGTTAGAAAGGAGATACCTCAGAGGTGGTCCCATATAATTTGGTTAAAATCTGATAAAATGATCCATGAGAACATCATCAAACTCTTCATTTTTTATGTATATTCAGCGATAATTCTTTACCACTTTGTTTGATTTCTAGTATTCTATTATTTTAGAAAGGGTTACGTCGGGGGTGTTCCCATATACATTTGCTTACAATCTGATGATGGGATCTATGAGCAAATCTGCAAACTCAGTTTGTGATTGGCATCTGCACGATTTTGGAGTCGATTTTTTAAAATTACTTTTGTTTTATTAAAATTTTACGACGATTCTTATTTTATTTTAACAACAGTATAATTAATTTTCACAATCATTTATAAGCTATATAACACATCTTATTTTCATAATAGATTTATTAGCTATTCACTCAGTGCAAAGTTATGGTAGGGGAAGCAAAAGCGATACTAGCGCATACTGAGAATAATTGGAGCACTTTAGGGCGATATTTTTCAAATTTTGGCGTAATAAACATTTTATTTTCTTTAAGAAAAATAGTTAAAACAATACAATGAGCAACGGAGTTGGTGTGTTGTAAATTGTAAAAATTCTAGCAAAAAAACAGTATCAAAATTGAAATTAAAACAAAAAATTAATGGATAACTGAATAATATAATAATACTCTCCCTAATTCACTCCCTTGTGAGTGAATTTTAACCCCAAAAGCTGTGCTTGTATGGGGAAAGGGCCGGCTATTATTATTATTATTTTCCGTGGCGCTCCGGGGCGACTTAAGGATGATTGATGGTGCCATTTGACTTACAGGTGAGGAAAACCCAGAAAACCTCACCCACCATCATAATATAACAGTAAATAATAACAGTGATGCTGGAAATAGTAGACTTCAGAAAAGTAAAAGGTTTTAAATAAACAATTAATTATCATTTTACTATTTTCTTCAACATTCCTTAAATGTTCAGCAAGGACTAGATTTCTGCCTTTAATTATTCTATGTGAGTGGAATGCAATTTTGTGACTTATTGTTAGGAAACCAGTTTTAATCGGTAATTCTATGTTTTCATTCGAACTAACAATGAAGAAAATATAAATTACAATCGCAAATATACCAATTATTTGATTTTTATCAATATATTTTGATTCCACGTTATTATTCAATGGTAATATTTGTTATTTTTATAAATATTATTTAGCCTATTCTTCAGTGACAACTCATTTAGGCTTAGGCAACTTATCGTACATTTTTCAATGATTACTGTTTCCTGTCTATGTTTTAATTATTTTTTATTGATTATACTTACCTTTTTTTAGCTGTAGAAATAAAAATATATAAAAAATCACAAATAAATATTTATACTTGTTTTACCAATTCCTAAACTTTAATTAAAACCAACATATATATTTTATAATTACCAATTCTATTAAAAATTGTAGCGAATACGATATCTTATAGCATCGCTCGTAGTGAAATCCCAGCTTTACACATTCAAATTACACCAGTTATATCACCTTATTTATCCTAATTTATTTCCTCCTTATTCCTTATGCACATTTCAAGTGTAATTCACTCCTGCTAAATAGCTGGTGGAGAAAATATCCACCAGTGGACACCACATCGCCAACAGGACTCACGTATCGGGGACAGCACTAATAATTTTATTTGTACATCGGTCTCCTTTTGACAGAATAGAGGAACTTGTCCAGGCCGTTGGTGTTTATGTCGGTCGGAGTAGCCAGGTATGGATTGAAATTTTCTACGAGCAGTCGTTGCTTCGTCTTCTTGTTGTCACGGCATTATTATTATTTGCTCATGTATGTAAAATTTGCTTTATAAAATACTACTGCTAGTCACGGCGTAAACGAAAACAAACAAGACGTATTCACACAAACACCTCCCACCACAGCAATTACAAATCATTAGTGTTGTCCCCGATACGCGAGTGCCGTCAGAAAGGTATTGTGGATTTTACACCGGGCCAAACGAAAGGTTTAGTGTCCGTTGGTGTAGTTCATTCCTACACCAGTGGGACGAAAAAGAACCTATAGTATAGGTTGATATACGGGTTGCTAGCGTACAACGTTGCCATTCATTTAATTATAAAATGGCTAGTTTCAGACTGTATGTATCAACGTTGTGTATGTTTTTTTTGCGGTGGAAAATTAAATCGTTCATGTAATTTTAGAAAATTCGATTATTATAGGTTAACGTTATATTAAAAAAAATGTATTAATTTATTTTCTTAACTTACCAAATGTGCCTGCCTTGTTTCATCGATGTAATGTGTAGTAATGATCACAGTAGTTCTACCATTTTTAGTGATTTCTACTAAGTGGCTCCAAATGTTGTTCCTCAACAATGGATCAACTCCAACAGTGGGTTCGTCTAAAATCAGCAATTCTGGCTCATGTAAAAGGGTGGCTGCTAAGGAAACTCGCCTCTGTTGACCACCTAATATTAAAAAAAAAGAAGTTTAATGATATATTAGCGGAGGTCTTTTTACTTTTGCGATTATAATCATCTATCTATAACCCCAGGAACTAAGGCTTTGTAGCAAAACCTAAACCGAGAGGATCTGGTACCATGGGTGTTACTTGGGATAGTAAAAAAACCAGACGGCAAAAAAAAGGCACGATAAGTAATCAAGAAGCACATTAATCGGGCAAAGTATTTACACTCATATTTACCTATGTTAGTTGTAGTAAATAAACTATAGTAACACTTATTACGCAATATACTAAAAAATTACTTACCACTAAGAATTTTTACTTGTCTGTCTGCATCAGGTAGCATTAATAAGTTGACGAAGAAATCTACTTTGGCTTCTACCTCTTCGGTGGTCATATTTGAAATCCATCCAAAATATTTTAAAGTTTCTCGAATAGTGAATTCGCCATATAGGGCTATTTCCTAAAAAAATGTTATTACAATATTTATTATCGGTAAGTAATCTTTCAATTTTTTAACAATGGAAATGTTTATGTCCGTACGTTATATGGGACCAAGTTACGAGTTATTGTAAAAGGAAAAAGAACATGACTTCGACACCGTGGTCTGTCGTTGATGGATTAACATGCATACTGGAGAGCTCAGAAATATAAAAAAATAAACTCCTGGACAAAATTAACCTGCGTAACTAGCTCATAATCCCCCAAAAGTACTAGCAGTTAAAGGCCAGAATTACTCGTCCTGTGGACTAGTTATTTTATCAATCGATTTCATATTCTTGACTCAAACACCTTTATTGGAGGCAAAACCACTTAAACCAAATCTTCTGCGAGCTCGTAATTTAATCAGTGAAAATTGAAAATTTATTAAATATAATTTTATGACCTCGTGGTACCTTTGATTAAAAACTAACGAGAGTTTTTATGATTAATAAAAAATTCTTCTTTTTGTCCTGACGACCTTATCTCCGAAAATTATTTTATCTTCTTGAATTGTATATTTTTTTAAAATTATCTATTATTTTCCGTAAAAAAATTAGTTGTAGAAATTTGATAAACCAATTAAATTATTTTAATGTGTGGATAATTTCATTGAAAAACATATTATTTTAAATGTAACCAACTAAATATCATTAAACAAAATGATTTATAAAAAACAGAACTATTAAGAAATTCCACAATGCATAAAATTATTGAGAACAGGTTTTAAAGTGAAATTTTAAATTACCTACCAAAAATTAAAATGGCAATGTCGTTATTTGTTAATCACCGTCAATAAGTACTAGTGTAATTTATTATTTAACTGATTCTGTCTAGAAAAATAAAAACAAATAAAAACGAAAGAAATTTTAATAGGTTTTAAATTTTTCCGTTGTAGGGTCAATTCACTGGTTATCCGGCCAGCACTGGATCTCTGCCTTTTTATCGTTTAAGGCCAAATAATAAGAAAATAAAGTGTCATGGGCTTATTGTCAGTACTAAACAAGTTCCCGGCATCTTTTTTCTATCCAAAGTGGTAGGGGTTGGTTTGGTATTGTAAGGGACAAGCGCGGGAAAAAAGCTTCGTTCTTGTCCTTACAATCAGCAGGAAACACATGCGTTTTAAATGTAAAAGTGCCTAATAGTGTGAATCAACGAAATAGTAAATATTTGATTATTTTTCTATTCCAGGTGCATGCAATATGTTTCAAATAGTAGAGGAGGGGTTAAACTATGTAAATTTGTGTCACAATTGAGCAAAAACTGGTTTTATAATTAAAATTTCTAGTGACCGCGAACCAGTATTAACAAAATATGTTTTTTAGATCTCGGCCAAAGGGGCCGAGAATTAATTTAAAAAGTAAAGTTTTGATCTTAAATAAAATCATGAAAAACGAGTTTAAATGTACTTTTGTTTTATTTTTCTATTTATTTACATGATTACTTTTTAGGTATTGGTTTGCGACCGATAAATTAAATATGAAATGTAGTTTATTTGATTAATAAATATTTTGATAAATGTAGTGGCTGAGAAATAGCGCTTGTCGGTCACCCCGAAAAATGTGGGGCCGTAAACTAATATGTACAGTGATTTTGGTTCTCGGCCCTTTAAAAACCAAGTGGCCAAGAACTAGCGTCTCTCGGCCACTAAGAAAATACTGGAGGCCGAAAACTAATATTTACAGGGGTTTTGATTCTCGGCCCTGGAAAAACCTAGTGGCCGAGAACTAGCGTTTCTCGGCCACTACGAAAAATATGGGGGCCAAAAACTAATATTTACGGCGGTTTTAATTCTCGGCCTTTAACATGAGTGAGGTTTCTTTGGCGTATTGAAGAGTGAATTATCATAAAATGAGGAAGATTAGAAAAATGCCTTTGCAGGACAGGCTGCTTGCAGTAAGAATACCGGATGTGTTGAGAAAAATAGGCCCAACACCACTATTTAGCGGTTAAAGGGGAGACAAAATTTAAAAAATGGCTCATTGATCTGGCTGAATGTGAGTTTTCGATAAAAAACAGATGCTTTTGGATACAGTTTCTAAGATAAATGCAGATTCTAATCTCAATTTATTTAAAGGCGGAATACCAAAACATGGTAGATGAATTTCATAGCCGAGGGAATAAATAAAGCTTAAACAGCAGTTACATAACAATCTGTGAGAAAATGGTTTCAGAACCTAGAACAATATTTAAATGAGAATGTTTTGTGTTTTGTAATCCTAATATCCTGGAAGAGTGTTCAATGGAAAGTAATCAGTTTTCGCACTCCGTCAATCTAGTGGCAAAGTGTTTGGTCTAAAAGTTTTTTGAAATAATAAAAAAACATTTTTAATCTTGTTTAGTGCTGAAGGAAAATTTGCTCCTCCATTATGTTAGGTCTGTCATTGATAATGTGCCAAGTGCGTTAGATTTTGGGAAAGTCGGAGAAAGTATGGTTGACATGATTTTTTTTTAATTATAATGGCTTTAATAACTGGTTTTTGTGTGGCCGATAACTAATATAAAATTGGCCGAGAACTGTGAGGGGTGGCTGAGAACCAACAAATACGCACTTTTTTTAGTTTTTAATTTTTCATTACTATAAAGTTAAAAACACAACAAAAATTCATTTCTGGAGCCCTTGAAAACACTCCAACGGACATTTTTTAAAAAAAGCAAATTACAATTTAAAGACTTCCTCTATATCTATTTGAAGATAAAGTCGATTTTTACGCTAAAAGGCCGAAAACCAGTGCACTGACCCTATCAAAGAATTTGTCAGATCTTCTATTAAAAATTCATTAACTTGAATTTTATATAATACCTTTCATATAACACATACAGGGGTCTATTCAGTAACGTTTTAGTTAATTTTAACGCCCGGTTTAAAGGTTATTTATAACTATGATGTTTAAATTTTAACTCAATTCTCTACTCTATATTCCATCAATTTAATTTTGTGTTAAAACCAGTCCTAGTTAAAATAGACATGGCAACGATGTAATATACATAAAAAGTGAATTGAAAGGAACCCCAACGTAGCATTTAAAATAAGAAAAATAATATATTTGACAGTTAATCCTTACTAGATTTATTACTGACAGAAGTTATAATTTTAACCAAATAATACAGAATACAAAATTAAAAAGAACATCCTGTTATTTTTATAACCCAGGGTTAATTTTAACCAAATTTTTACAGAATAGACCCCATAATCTCATTTTTTTATTGACAGCAGAAGTTAAAATGTACCTTTGACTTGAAAGTTTGGGGTTTTACTAAGGCAAAGGAGTACCTACGTATTTTGGTGTTGTTTATTTGTTAAGTGACTGCATTTGTAGTATTTGGATCAAAAATAAGGAAATTGAGTAATGTAAATGAAAAGAAATAAAGAGTTAGAAGTTGAACTCAAAGCACAAAACATTATAAAATAAATAAAAGCACCATTATTAAAATGGGCGGGACACAAGAGAACTATAAAATCAATAATAGTCGTTATAATCAAGAAGATAAAGTAAAGCTTTTAAGTAACGAGCCCAAGACTAAAAGTTATAAGAAGAAACCGTCAAATGGAGAGAAACTTTTTTTTTAATTTTTATAGCGTGACAAAGAAAAGAAAATGCAAGTACTCTTAGATTATAATGAATTATAGTATACAGGCGGTTTCTTCTATCATATTTAAACATTGTTACATGCTAAATCGTAATAGAGATAGGAAGAAGATTACATGGGAAAAGTGTGACTATTCTGGCGAACATTAGAGTGGTCCAAAACATCTACAGGGTCTATTACCATTCTTAAGTTGTACAGTAAAAACTAAAAATACTTTTCTGTTCGTAGGTACAAATAAAATTGTGCTTGTTTTTTTATTATTTTTTGACATTATTTTATATTATTTTACATTTTATTTATTAGCAACTACATAGTGTTAAAAACTATTATAATGTATAATAATAACAGTAATAAGTATAATTGATGACAAAATAATAAAATTGTTATTATTTTTATTAATTTTTAAATTTTTTCCTCTATATCTGGGTGCCTGAGGTTGATTGATTTGTATTAAATTCCTTATTCTCAAAAAAAAAAGAAACGCTTGCAATAGGATAAATTGAACATTTTAATTTAAAGTGATTGGACGTATACATTAAGTCAAAAAGAGCCTTACCAAATTTCAACATTGGTAGAGTCTTGTCTACCAAAAGAATTTTTGAGAGCTTGGCAAAGAAGTAGTTTATACAACTGCGATTCTTCATTAAAAGATCGACTAAATAATATTATGGAGTTTTTAAGACGAGAAGTCGAGAACGAAGAAAGAATATTGATGGCCGCTTCTGGTTTTAATATTAAAGACAAAAATGATAAATTGAAGAAGAGAGACAAGTTCTTTCAAGAAGAAAGTGTACCTACTGCGTCAGGACCAATAAATCATAAAAGTTCACCCAAATGTGCAACGGTTTTCATTCAAATGCAGACTGTACGAATGCGAAAAATTTTTCATATGTAAAAAAACGAGAATTTTAAAAGATAAAAGGTGCTGTTTCATATGTCTAAAATTTGGACATGTATCTAGAAATTGTCACGTAAGAATCCACTGTAATATCTGTAATAAACGCCACGTGAATCTCATGTGTCCTGATAATAATAAGAAAGAAATTAAAGTACATGAAAATAAAAAGCAAATTGATCTTCCACCAAGTGAAACTCTATCAAATAGCACGCATTGTGAAGTATTCCTGCTGACTCTAAAAGTAAAAATTATGGGTCCTAATAATTGTTATCAATATGCACGAGCTATAATAGATACGGGGTCCCAAAGAAGCTATTATAGCAAATCTTTAGCGTCTACAATGCAATGTATTCCTCTAGGTGAATAAGTTATAATGCACGCTTTATTTGGTGGTGTATATTCAGAGAACATTAAACATATAAGATATAGGATTTGGCTGAACAGTGTAAATGATAGTTATTCATGTAATTTTGAAGTTCTAGATCAAGAAGTTA